AATATTAATATGCAGTATATAGTATTAATCCAAATCACTTTTTCTTTCCAAAATCATGCAAAATGTAGAGTATTTGATCATTTTGATCAGGTTCGTCCTACCTGCCACCAACAACGGAATGTGACTCTAGGTCTTGGTTTTGTCTCACGTTTTAGATAATAGGGACTTCAGATTGAGGTATATGAAGCCTCGTGGCTAAGTAGATACGATATATTACCAAAAGTATTGGGACGCCTTCCTTTACACGCACATGAACTTTAATGGCATCCCAGTCTTAGTCCGTAGGGTTCAATAGTGAGTTGACTCCACCCTTTTCCGCTATAAAACAGCTTCAACTCTTCTGGGAAAGCGCCCACAAGGTTTAGGAGTGTGTCTATGGGAATGTTGGACCATTTGTGAGATCGGGTACTGATGTTGGACGAGAAGGCCGGGCCTACAGTTGGTGACTTCTGCGCACTTCAGCATGCACTGACCCCGCTCTGTCATTTTACGTGGTCTACCACTTCCTGGCTGAGTTGCTGTTGTTTCCAGTTGCTTCCACTTTGGTAATACCACTAACAGGTGATCGCGGAATATTTAGAAGCAAGGAAATTTTATGGAACACCTGAATCCAATGATTGGGAGGGGTGTCAAATACTTTTGGTAATATAGTGTATCACTATACCTAGATATTAAAAAATGTGAGCAAATTTGATGGTTTGGGCACAGCTCAGAACACTCCCTAGTGTGAAATCCAATGGGATCAGGATCGATTCACCCCAATTAAAACTAATTCCTGAAAATTTACTGAACCTTTCTTTGAGTTGTATCAAGCTTTTCAAAGAATTCTCCCAGAAAAATCAATGGATCATCCATGGAGATGGCAACTTTTTCCACCTCCACTATTTCCTCTCTGAAATACCTTCCATGTTGGCAGTCTTCCTAATTGCTCCAGCAAAGAGCAGGGGCATCAAGGGACATGCATGTCAAGTACCCCTTCCCAACCCCAATGGCTCCAACAGGGAGCAGTCAATAAGTAGCCTGGCTTTCAAGAAAAAGTAGAGCACTTAGGACTTTAAAACTAAATCCTGGCAAGCATCTTGAAGTAATCTAGGCTTGCTATTCTCATTGCTCCAGCCATAGCTATGGAGTTTATAAGCCTTATAATAAGTGCTGTGAATATACAATTGAGTAAGTCTTTGTGTCTTAGATAAGGATACTTGTGGGATTCTGCTTTGTTCCGTGATCTTCTGAGACGGTTCCAATAACCTCTTCCCATTTAGTTTTACTTTGGAAAGGGGCTGAGGACCAACCATTTTGCCAGATCCAATTGGGGTGTCTTTTTAATATTTTACTTTACCATTGTACTGGAGCATGTCACGAGCTTTAGCATCTCCAGTACTTTAACACACCCCCTGCACAGTGTTCTAATCAACAGCACTGCTCAGGTAACATGACCACTGGTGATTCTAGTACTGTGCAGGGGGCGGGGGGTAGGGGTTTTGGGTGGTATTGGGGTGGTGGATGTCAGAAAACTGGAGACGGTATTTTTTACCCAATTTAAAAAAAAAAAAATTTAAAAAGGCTTCCACTTATTACTGGCTGTGCAGCCTGACTGCATTACAGTATTAAACAAGCAAAGCTTCAATTGGGTTTTAAATCTGAATTTCTTCGAACCTATTTGTCAGCATGAACGACGTCAACCAAACCATAGTTGATGAATTTGTACTTGTTGGTTTTAAAAGCTTTCACAGATTGAGATTTTTTCTGTTCACCAGTTTACTGTTAGTCTACATTGTCATTTTCTGTGGGAATCTTTCCATTGTCAGTTTGGTGGCAGCAGTTCGCCACCTTCATACGCCCATGTACTTCTTCTTGAGCAACCTCTCTTTATCTGATGTGCTGATAACGTCCGACATTGTACCCAACATGCTACATATACTGTGGACGGAAAGAGGAAATATCAACCGCTTCAGCTCTATTCTTCAGTTCTACGTATTTGGTTCTCTATCGACAATGGAGTGCTTACTTCTGACCGTGATGTCTTATGACCGTCATCTCGCTATTTGTAACCCTTTGATTTATTCTTCCGTCATGACCTCAGGAATTTGCCGCAACCTCATCATCTTCACTTGGTTGGTCAGTTTTCTTTCCGCATTCCCAGTGGCAATTTTTCTCTCCAAGCTACGATTCTGTCACCGGAAACACCATTGACCACTTCTTCTGCGATCTGGCTCCCTTCCTGGACTTGGCTTGCTCAGACGTTTCCACGATCAGATCGTTGGTGTTTTCTTTTACCATCCTTGTCTCCTTCTTCCCGTTCCTCTTCATCACGGCGTCTTACGCTTCCATAATTCACGCCATCCTCAGGATAAAGTCAGAGAAAGGCAGACAGAAGGCCTTCTCGACGTGTAGCTCCCACCTGGCTGTAGTGTCCTTTTACTACGGAACTCTCTTCATTCTGTATGGCAACCCTTCCAATAACCAATCTCTAAATACTAACAAGATTTTATCTCTCTTATACACCATTGTAACGCCGTTGCTGAATCCAGTCATCTATTATTTTAAAAATCAGGAAATAAGTAGAGCGCTTTCAAAAATCCTAAAATGACCCTCATTATTAAAAAAATAAATGGTCTTGGACTTGCCCCTCCGATGGCTTAGACTTCATCCACAGGGGTTTAAAGAGGAACTCCAGGAATCTAAAAAAAAATGTAGTCAAGTTCAAATGAAAGTGCTTTTTTTGACCTAGGGGCTCCAATGAAAAAGAAATACTCACCTGATCCTCGATCCCGCCTGACTGCTAGGTGGTATTCTGCATAGCTGACTTTTATTATAATGTATTGCTGGGACTTGCAGTCCCGCATAGCTGGTGGTATTATGCATTGATGTATGATGATTGTACAACAATGCAGAACAGCACCAACTATGTAGGACTACAAGTAAATAAAAAAAAATAAAAAATAAAATAAGAAATAATTGAATAAAAAGTGATAAAAATAAAGAAACAGTAAACATTTTTTGAAACTAGCCCCGCCCCAAGGCCAGGTTCCACAATACGCCCTGCCATCTGGTTGCCATTCTCAATTGATGGGGAGGGGGGATGGGGGGGGTGTATTGTGGAGCCTGGCCTCGGGGCGGCAGGGGGAGTAAATCCGGCCCTGGTACCAGCAATGCATTATATTTTTAAGTAGGGATACACCAGTGCCAATACTGGGCATTTTCACAAGTACTCATACTCGTGAAAATCCCCCGATACTAAGCGCAGATACCGGTGTTCTGTCGAGAACGCCGACGTAGTCGAATTTGCCGACCTCAGCATGAGTGCTTGCGCACAGGCCAGTATTAACGAGGAAACCGGGATTTATTTACAAAAATGTTTTACTGAAATCGTTAATTGTGACCGTTAATAATATTCCATCCCTCATTTACTGCCATCCATTAGACATGTGCGATTCGTTTAGTTCCGAATCGAACTAATTTTCGGGAAATTCGGATACATCCGAATCACAGCTAAAACGAATACAAACGAATCGAAATTCGGACGAAATTTCGGAAATTCGGATGCATCCGAATTCCAAATTACAGCTAAAAGGAATGCAAATGAATCCGAATTCCCGATTTCCCGAAATCGTTAGCGGTAGTCCGGCCGCAATTTCGTTTATTGGACGAAATTTCGTTAGCAGCAAAGTGACATTAGAAAAAAAAAATCTTTTTTTTTTTTTTACACACTGCGGAAGATGAGCCTTAAAGTGACTAGTTGGCTGCAAGGTCACGCACCATGTCATCCTCAGGCCTGGAGACAGTGACGAGTAAAGTAAGGCAGTCTCTTGACTTGAAAAACCATAGAGGTACCTTACTGAAACTCACTGGTGTCCACAGCACCTCCTCTCTTGGAGCAGGTCATTACTCTACATCTAGATTGACTCTTTATTTGCACACTTGGCTCTCCCACAGTCAAAAGCACCTTTCCCTCTTACTACTTTTCTATGAGGCATCCAAACAGCCTCATGCGTGCTTCCCAAGCTTTAGGAGGGCCCAGTGCTTAAACGGAGTCCTACACTGCCTATGTTAATCCAGTCATGAGACAGAAAAAGAGATTCTCAGAAAACTCTGCACACCATGAACTTACTGACTCCAGAAAGTCAACTCCTTTTTTATCTTTTCTACCAGAACATGGTTGGTTGGGTTGAATTGGCTTCCTGTGGAAAATCTCTTCCTGACATTTCCAGTTGTAGGCCACAAGCCATCTCTAAAATGATCTGGAGTTATCATGTCTAGTTGTGTTAACCACGTGGAACACCAAGATGTACATTAAGATCTCTCCACCAGGGGTATAACTACCAATCTCAGGCCATGTAGTAAAATTTGAATGGGGCCTAACACCAGCTTTGCAAAATTTGAATGGAGCTTATATTTATGATGGGACTACCCATGGGAAAAAGCGACCACCCATCAAAAGAGAGCAACAGCCCGAGAAAGAGAGAGGGAGAAACTGTCATGAGATGAGGGTCTGCCCATGAGGGACTTAAAGACTAACTATGTCAATGACTTGCAGAGCTGTACAAGAAAAGAACCTTGTTTCTTTTTCCATTCCAGCTAGCTGCAGAGATCATGTGACCTGTAATGTTTCTTTCATAGGTGGTTCTTGTCGGGCAGCCCAGGAGGAGAGGAACAGGGTACTTCCCTGCCTAGCTTTGTAGATCCATTGTATTACACCATACCTATAAACAGGTACCAACCCATACACAACCCAGCTGCACGTACCACAAAATAAAATGTTTGACTAAACCAGAGGCAAGGAAAAAGCAAGTTCTTTATAGATTTGTTTTTCTTTTTGGACCTTATTCACAATTTTTAAAAGGCTGTCCACAAATGTCTGGATGGTTGTAAACCCTGCTATTGGGTGAGGGAAGAATCTTTAATGTTGATAGGACTTCACAGTGTTGAGATACCACATAAGGTTGGACCGCAGATCAGAAATGGAAGTAGAAGCCTCGGGTGGACTCATGCTCTCTACATCAAAAAGGACAATAGAAGTGTTTGCTCTTCAGCATGTAACGCTTGTTTCTGTTGCCCGAGCTGAAAATAACACAAATCCCATCTTCTGAATGAAACGTGTAGCCAGCCATGTCTTCTTCCTGAAATACACTCGCCATGTCCTCCATGATTTCAGATATCATCATCTCCCATTGTATCGTATGGATGACTCCTCGTCTCTTCTGCACCTCCCCGCAACTGATCTCTTATCAGAGTCAGGAACCTTTCAGAATGAATATCACAGTCGTGTCTCGGACAGCCCGTGCGTTGCTGTCATGCACAATTCTTCTTTCTCCCAGTAGACGATTTCCTTCCGGCGGGTACTGGGTCCCCTTTGTTTTACTTTTTCTGATCCTTTCTTTTGTGTTTTTGCTGGAAGAAATTAGATATAAAGTCTTAATTGGGCAGAATGTGTCACATTTGGTTAAGTGTATGTAAAGCCTAAGGCCCCATTCACACATAGCGATTTCCGCCACGATATTGCGCATTTTTGCCGCGCGATATCGCGAGAAGTCGCCGGCTAATGATATTCAATGGAGCTGTCTTAGCTCCATGTCGCGGTCGCAAGTCGCTTCTACAGGACCCTTTTTTCGGCGGATTTTGCGCGATTTTGCTTTTTTCTAATGGAGCCCGACGGAGAAGGTCGCGCTACCGTCGCTGGATTGTCGCTGGAACGTCGCGCTATCCCGGCCGCTGCAAAATGTATGTCGCTACGTGTGAATGGGGCCTAACTGTGATCTTGTCTTATTTGGTCTCTTTTGATCTGTGAACCACCTCAGTACCGGAGCAACTTTTTCACACACAAATGCTAAAATCAGAATTTTTGTATAGAAAATGACTTTAAGCCCCCCAAACAATTATATATTTTCTGAACGCAGAGGCCCTGCAAAAATGATAGCTGCACTTTCTTATGTGGCTCAAGATTTGTGCAAATGTTTATCAAATTGATATATTTGGGAAAATTTTAAATTACTTTTAGTGCATACAGACACAATATAATAACCAGTTTTTGGTAGAAAATAAAAGATGGGGTCGTGTGGAGTAAATAGATACCAAACATGTCAAGCATTAGAATTGCGTGCGCCCCTGCAATGGTGAAAAACTGTGGTACTCAAAATTGTCCATAGGAGATGCTTTAAAAGCCTTGATTGCTCATCAGTTTAGAGTTACCAGCCAATTATGGCCCCACAATTATTGATCAGCAAAAGGTAGAAATGTCACCAGCAGAATGTTCATTTATTTGAAGTTCCTTGTCATATAAACAAGCGCTTTCGGGGGCTGGCAGGGTCCCTTCATCAGGCTCAGCATCGCCAAAGCAAGGGACCCTGCGCGGTACCGAAAAGCGTTTGTTTATATGACAATGAACTTCAAATAAATGAACATTCTGCTAGTGACATTCTGCTGGTGATATTTCTACCTTTTGCTGATATTTGCGGAGCCAGACACTGCAGACTGCAGGGTCTCACGGCGGCTGTGCAGGATCTGTGAGGGGCTCTGCAGGGTCTCAGGGGGGTTGCACAGGATCTGTGGTGGCCTCTGCCCACCATAGACTTCTCAGAGCAGATCACAGATCCTGAGATCCCAGAGACCCCGCAGAGCCCCTCACAGATCCTCCACAGCCCCCCTGAGACCCTGCAGATTTAGTGTGGGGGGGGGGGTGCCCGAGTTTAGTGTTGCCTAGGGCATCCCCAAACCAGAATACACCACTGTTGCTACCCCTGCACTGTAAGTGTTAGGTGCTTGTTTTGGTCTAGGGTCTAAAATAAAAGCTATACTCACCTGAACCTTGGTCCCGTCTGGCTGTTAGACATCTGCAGCCTCCCACCTGGCTGCTAGACCCCCGTAACCCCTGCAGCCTCTCTCCCCCTCCGCTCCGGCGGTCTAAGGACCAGCGAGTTATCACGTCTAATACAGTGAGGACCCATCCAAGGAAGCTCACTGCTTGTATCAGGGCTTAAGTATCTTGAGGAGTACTGAAGCTGGGTGCTGTGATGTTTTCAGGAAGCTTTGTACAACACCCTGCCGGCCCCTCCCACCAGCCATGTACAGAACCCTGCCGACCCCTCCTACCAGCCATGATCAGCCTGCATGGCGCAGAGAAGCATGGAGACCCAGTGATGACACCCCAGGATGTAAAAAAAAGGAACGTAATGAAAACAGAAAGTTTTATATAAAAATGCTGTTAGATGAGGAGGGAAAAGGAAGAACCTGAGAAGACAAATTAAACTTCAGCTTTAAGAGTCACCTTCTTGAAGGAAAAAAAATACCTTTATTGGAGTCAAGCGTTCTGCCAAAAATAAAAATGGTTCCAGCCATCAAAGCTGCAATGGACAATATAATGAGGAGTATGGCCCACCAGCGTGTCTGTGAAAAGAATACAGGCTGCAGTTATGTATCAGGGTTTGTGTTTTCCAATCAGTTGATGTTTAGAGATATCTTCAGCAAACCTGTGATGTCCTCATAAAGGGAGATACTTCAGGTTCACTATGGCCCCCACATTCCTCCCCAACGCACACTGACCCTTCCTTTACTCCCATCAATAGACCATTACAAGAGACACAGCTACAGGCTACAAGGCAAGGACTGGCCACCGGTGCCCAGCCTTCCGGGGTCTGTCTCCTCCCCACAGGACACATGAAAGGTCAGGCTACACACTGCTCAGTTAATGTGTTAGTTCACAACAAACTTTATTGGCAGGTCACTCAGACATACAACACCAGACGGCTTACACATTTCTCCCAAAATATGCACTTAAGCATTGGGTTAATCACGGGGGTTGTGACTTAGACATAGACCCATCACTTAAGCATGGGTTCATGGCCTAATTACAGGGGTCATGGCTTAATCATATGGGTTGTGGTTTAGCCATAGAGGTCATGGCGTAATTAAAGGAGTAATGGCATAGTCATAGGTATTATTACTTAGTTATAGGATCCTGGTTTAATCATAGGGGTTGTGTTATCAAAAGGGTCATGGTTTAGACACAGAGGTCATGGCTTAGTCATAGGGGTCATGGCTTAGTCACAGGGATTATGACATAGTCATAGCACTTATGGTTTAATCATAGGGGTCATATTAATATATGGGTCATGGCTTAGACATAAAGGTTGTGGTTTAGACATAGAGGCCGTGGCTTAATCGAAAGGGTCATGGCTTAGATATATAGGTTATGGCTTAGTCGTGGGGTCATGACTTAGTCATAGGGCTCGTAGTTTAATCATAGGGGTCATGTTATCATGGGGTCATCGCTTAGACATAGAGGTTGTGGCTTAGTCATAGGTAATGTGGCTTAATCATAGGGGTCATGGCTTTGACATAGAGGTTGTGGCTTAAACATAGAGGTTGTGGCTTGGACTAGAGGTTGTGGCTTAGACTAGAGGTTGTGGCTTAGACTAGAGGTTGTGGCTTAGACACAGAGGTTGTGGCTTAGACACAGAGGTTGTGGCTTAGACCCAGGGGTTGTGGCTTAGACCCTGGGGTTGTGGCTTAGACTAGAGGTTGTGGCTTAGACACAGAGGTTGTGGCTTAGACACAGAGGTTGTGGCTTAGACCCAGGGGTTGTGGCTTAGACCCAGGGGTTGTGGCTTAGACCCAGAGGTTGTGGCTTAGACACAGAGGTTGTGGCTTAGACCCAGGGGTTGTGGCTTAGACCCAGGGGTTGTGGCTTAGACCCAGGGGTTGTGGCTTAGACCCAGGGGTTGTGGCTTAGACCCAGGGGTTGTGGCTTAGACCCAGGGGTTGTGGCTTAGACCCAGGGGTTGTGGCTTAGACCCAGGGGTTGTGGCTTAGACCCAGGGGTTGTGGCTTAGACCCAGGGGTTGTGGCTTAGACCCAGGGGTTGTGGCTTAGACCCAGGGGTTGTGGCTTAGACCCAGGGGTTGTAGCTTAGACCCTGGGGTTGTGGCTTAGACCCAGGGGTTGTGGCTTGGACCCAGGGGTTGTGGCTTGGACCCAGGGGTTGTGGCTTAGACCCAGGGGTTGTGGCTTAGACCCAGGGGTTGTGGCTTAATCATATGGGTCATGGCTTAATCAGAGGGATCATGGCTCAGACATAGAGGTCATGGCTTAGTGGCAGGGGTTGTGGCTTAATCATGGGGGCAGTGGATTAGTCATAGGGGTCATGTATTATTTATAGGGATGATGGTTTAGTCATAGGAGTATGAAAACCTATGAACATATGATATATAATATCAGAAAAGATTACCTTCATCCACGCCGCTGGGTCCCGCTCTATCACCCTCAGGAAAGAATTCTTCAGCCTGGCTATAGGGCCATCGGCATCGACAAAGCGACAGATATGAAATTTGTCGCAGTAGCCTTGCCTAGCGCCACAAGGTGCACCCGCAGGAAGGACTATTACAGCTCGATTGAACAGGTGGGACAGTTCTGCAGATTTGGTACTTTTGCAGGAAGAGGCGTCACCTGTTAGGTAAGAGCAGTGTGGAGGTTAATATGACGTCCACAATGTACTGTGAGCTCCTCTGAACGTACAAGGCAATAAAGCAAACATGGAGACACCCAACTATAAGAGAAAGGAAGAACTCCAGTGTGTGTGTGTGTGTGTGTGTGTGTGTGTGTGTATCACATGCAGGTTGGAGGCTCCACTGACAGAAATGGATGCCTTCAGCCTGCAGATGCGCACTACTGCCTGAAGGTGGCAGTGTTCATCCCCAGGGCCATGTATTTAACTGT